CAACAGCTCGCAAAACTTCCTCAGCAGAATGCGCCAGTGATGCCAACTCCTGCTTTTTTAACCTATGAAGAAAGCATGCAATTCAGAAAGAGGAGTATTAAGTTCACAACATGAACATTTTTCACAACTCCAATGTGGACATTTACTATGGAGAACTAAGTATATAGAAGGTAGAAATTACACAAGCAATCAAGAGTTAAAAGTATTTTAAGATGAATAACATTAATGTCTTCACTATTTTCTCAACCTTATTATTTCAAACTCGACAATATTGAAGGATGTCAGTTTCAATCAAGAACACATATTCATATGCTAGCATGTTGGAAAGTCCTAGAGATCTATGCATTTGATACCAGGGACCTTCATGCATATATCTATTTATGCATGATTTTGAGGAGATCCTATAACTTATGATGCACGGACCTTTGTGGTTATATATGTTGGTAATATCTGGTTTCCCTCAACTAGGTGCTGATGTGCACGATCACAAGGATGAAATCAGGATAATTTGAGGATGATTGTGTTTACATGATATGATGATCCCCTGATGACAATAAGCAATCATATGAATTACAGCGTTATGATAATAATGAAGATAAAATGACCACAATAACGATGACTAAATTATGAGAATAATGATGATGATATAATACTGTTTTACAATGATTTTAAAGACAATTGAACTGTATTTTCATACCCAGAGATGCTGTAGAGATCATTTGTATGAATAGAGAAGACAGTTTCAAGTTTTTGTTTTATGAGATATTATAGGAGTTTAAATTTCCCTATCATTCTGCAAAATAGAAACTTGTTCCTAAATAAGATAGCATGTATAATTTAAAACATGTTTGGGAAGTGTTTATAAATGATTTAAGTTATAAATAGATGAAAATGAGTGGTGGATAAGTGGATAGTACATGTAGGTAGTCGAAATGTATAGATAAAAAGTGGCTTGAGTGTTTGTAAACAATTTATAAACATGGGCCACACATAGGATTAGTCGTGCATCATTTATATGTATGTGGTAACCAGGGCTATGCAACTTGCAAAACACCAGAATTAAAAAATAATGAACCAAATTTATGTTCATTTTAGTAAATAATAAGGCAAAATCTTCATCAGAGGCGAAATAAGAATCCTCTAATAGAACCTAATGTCCTACAAGATTTTGTTGAGGGGACTCAGCAGCCAGTCAAGAATAGGCATTAGATTTTTGGTAGAGCCAGGTTGTCAAGTTCTGAAGACATTTTCCCTTTCCCCAAAAATCCAAGTTCATAAATAATAGAACAATCATATCTTGATTTTATAAATATATCTCAGTGAGTGTTCACAGGCATATATGTAGTTACAAACAAAAACTAGATAATTACCCATTTCTTTATCTAAAATTCTAAATGAGACCAGGATAGTGGTAGTAGACCACATTTTACTATTTTTTTTCATCCCAGTGCAGTTTCACTTAGCAATTACAAGCCTGCACTTACCAAAATTATCATTTATCAACATTAAAAACAAAAAACTAAACTATAAGTGGAAACTATCACTCATTCAACCATGATTTCCCAGATAATGATTAAAGAAAACATGTCTGGTGTAACAAAGTGTTTTTGTAGTAGCATCTTTGAGGGAGATTTTTAATAACTTTCCATGGTATATTACTGATAGCCAATATTGCACACCCTTGTGTATTCTGTTAGTCAGTAACTCACCTTTATAACAAATCTAAGAAGCCTACATATGAAAGCAACAAGGATTTTCCTGTACAAAATGACTTACTTAAAAGTTAAAACTTCTAATTCTACTTTATTCTACATTTATTCAAAAGAAAAGAATAACGACCTCTACACAGTGTCCCTCAGATTAGAACAACAGGAAAATAGGACATCCAGTTTAGAATTTTTTAATTTTCTCAAACAAACAAAACTGTTAGTAACATAATCACAATACAATACATTGCTCATTGAATCCAAAAACTCAAACCTAGCAAATGTAGGTAGCAAATAACCATAAAATGACATCAATTTCAACATACAACCTCACAGGATCAAAATTTTCAAACAAAACACAGAAATCAGTAGCAATTCATAAGCCTGGATATAAATTATACCGTAGCGCCTTTATAGTAGAGTCCTCGTCAAGTATCTTTTCAGTATTTCTTGAATTCTTTGGTGCTGGAGGTAGCCAATCTTCTTCTTCATCTACTTTCCTATCGCAATCAATCACCTCGATATCCTTCCCATTTACATCCTTCTCTTTCTCTTCAACCTAACATTTCTCAGTTCAAAAAACCCATTTGAACTTTAAGTTCAATATTCATTAAGAAACATAAAAAGAATTTCAAATCTTTTCCAAGGTAAACAAAGAGAGAAAGTTTTTACATCAGAGTCTGCAATTTTCCGTTTCTTGGCGAAGAATACGGGGGATTCATCCGTGCTATCATCTGCCAATCCACAAAAATGATAAAAAATCATTCAAATACACTAGGCATTCATACTTGTACGTATATAGAGGGGAGGAGAAGCTGACCATCGATGTTAATGACATTACTGGGCTGCACGCGTGAGTAATCGAAAAGTGGTTCGAATTCTTCAGTAGAATCTGCCTGTCAAATTAAACCCCGAAAAAAAAAAAATCAGAAACCAGGAAAATAGACAAATTAAGAAACCCTAAAGAATCTTTTTTTCTTGTTGACAATCTTGTGTATGTACATAAAACTGAAAGAAGCTTTTACCATCTGTGGCTTTCACACTCTGAATCTAGATTTTCGTAAATGCAGTGTGTGTATAAATAAAGAACTGCTGATGTTATAAATTCAAATAATCCTTGTACCTTGTTTGGGAATAGTGTTTTCAAAAGTGGCTCTTTTATTGTATAGGGATGAAGATATATTTAAAAGTAATTTTTACTTCTTTTAAAATTCGATAAACATGATGATAAATGCATTTTGATCGAATATTAATATTAACGTGTAATTATTTATAAATTTAAATAATATTGTTCGAGATAATAATTGAAATTTATTATCTTTTCTTTATTGATATTATTCCAATTAATTCACCAAACATGTAATTGGATTGCTAAGCTCTGTTCGACATCAATTAGTAATTAAGTGGAACTGGCTTCACTTTCTAGTGCAACATTCATAAGCCCCTAGTTGACTTTAAAGTCGATCTGAGATTATAAGCTGATCAAATTTAATTTTACTCACGGATTACATTAGATCTATACCTTTTATTAATTTTTTATCACACGTGTTATGAAATTCGTCAGTTCACAATATCAATAAATTTTGACAAATGGGGCCTACCAAAACCTATAGCACATGCTCGAGTTAAAGTTCGTATGGGGTTAGATAAGGACTCGCTCTCGTTGACCTTGTGATAGCTAACTCATTTGATACTCTCCCCTCCTTCTCTTTCTAAGCACCACTTTTCTCTATTTCCTTCGAATATAGTGGATCATAAATATCTTTACATATATATACTTACTAACATAGAGACATTTCTTAAAGCATATATTCTTAAATTGAGACGTTCTATTTTTCTTCTTTTATTTCTCGATCGTTTTCCTGCACAAAACGTGTTGAATTATGGATGACAAAAATATTAGGATTCTACCCTACCCCACATTTGGGGGGTGGGGATACGCGGAGAAGGATGAAGAATATGTCCTCACTCCAAACCAGTCACGAATATTTTTATTTTTATATTTTATAATTTAAATATATTAAAAATATAAATAGTAATCGAGCGATAAATAGAGATATTTCCCACACTTTGTTTCTAAAAACTTCTTCGATACAGTGGGACGAGAGGGACCACCTAACCTCGTCCGCCCCTTTGTCATTCGAGTCAAATTACCATAATCAGCCGATACTTCAAATGTGCAAGAATTCACATAAAATGTTGTATAATTTTAATCAACCACGAAAACGCATAAACGTGATTCTCGTTAAAATCCTTAAGCAACACAAGTAGCACTATGTGGACCAATGTAGAATGTGATGCCCATATAGTGATCACTCATGTATAACGTGAAACAAAATGGCGTGCACATGGAATAAGTGTGTTTGGAGAGTTTTTCTAAAATTTAAAAGTGCTTTTATGAAGATATAGAGCTTGTTTGGTAGAGATTAAAATCAAATTAAAATTGAAAAACTACCCGTTATTGTTGACTTTTATTTGACGAGTGAGACCCAATAACGACTATATTTTCAATTTTAATTGGATTTTAATTCCTCCCAAACAACCTCATAATATTTATCAAAATTTACTAAAAATTTAATTTGTTAAGTGAAATGCTAGCACGTTAATATGTAACACGCGTAACAAGTATATATATGCCTATACACGTGTCCACATTTATCGAAAGTGTGATTGTATATATCGAAAGTAATAATCTGTTTAGTCTAGTTTTAAAAAAATAATTAAAATTAAAATTAACGATGAATTTTAACCTCATAATTTATAGTTTCACAACTTTTAAGTTACATATTACATCAATATTTATTAAAATCTACTAATATTATATTAATCTGTTAGGTGAAATGTTGGTACGTTAATGTATAACGCGTGTAACAAGTATATAAATACCTATACACATGTCCACATACGTGTATTAGTATATGTATTTGCTCGAGTAATGTTATTCATCCCTAGTGGAGATGAAAATACAATTTATGTGGCTTTAAATGATAGGTTAAATGAAATGTGAAATTAAATGATTTATTTAATTTCACCTATCATTTAATGCTATATTGACGCCACATAAACTGTGTTTTCATCTCCAGTGACGATGAATAACATTACTCGTATTTGCTCACCTATCTTATATACTCATATTCAAGCAAAAATTAAATACGATTTAAAAAAAAAAAAATTAATTAGAAGACAGCTGGGCTTGTCCAATAGGCAAGAAGTACAAAAGGATCATACTCTTGAGAAAATTAATTGGTTTCTTCTTTACTCTTTTCGTGCCTTTCTCCCAGATCCTTCCCTTCTATGGATCCCTTGCCGTCATCGCTCTCCGCCGCTCCACCCACCACCACCACCACGACGGCGGGAGCACCACCTCCACAACCACCCCAAATCAACTACCCAGACTCCGTGGATTCATCCCCTCGCTCCCGCAACACCAACTCCTGGGACGATCCGCCCCCACCGCTCCCCCAACTACCAAAGCTCCGCCTCATGTGCAGTTATGGCGGACACATAGTCCCCCGTCCCACCGACAAGTCTCTCTGCTATATCGGTGGAGACACCCGCATCATCGTCATTGACCGCCACACCAGCCTCTCCGACCTCCACAACCGCCTTTCCAAAGCCCTTCTTAACAACCAGCCTTTTACGTTGAAGTACCAGCTCCCGAACGAGGAGTTGGATTCTTTAATCTCTGTCACTACTGATGAAGATCTTGAGAACATGGTTGAAGAGTACGACCGCCTCTGCAATTCGAGTGCGTTGAAACCTGGCCGCCTTCGCCTGTTTTTGTTTCTCAAAAGTTCGAATATTGAGCAGCTTCTTGTTGAAACTTCGTCTACTAAATCAGATGACTGGTTTCTAAATGCGTTAAACGGGAAGGATATTAGTATGCCTGCATCTGCAAAGGATTGCGGGTTTCCAGAATCCTCTTCGGTCAATTCTCTACTTGACTTTGATGACGAATCTGTAGATAAGGAGGCCAACACAAGGAAATATGTGGAATCCCAAATGGAATCATCAAAGAATGATGGAAATGGGAACGGGACTACTGTTAATCACGATGTGCATTCGGTCCCGGATTCTCCTATGCTGGAAGCCAATTCTTCCTTTGAGTCTGCTTCTAGCTCTCCATTGGTGGCGAACCTGCGGCCAATAAGGGTACGTGCGGAGCAGAATCAGAGGGCAGGAAAATTGGGAATCGAGGATCAGTTTCAGCAGAGCGTTGCGGTTGTGGGGGTTGGTGGAAATGTTAATTTGCCTCAGAAGCAGGAGGAAGGGAGTTTCGTGCCAATGGATGTGGCAGCTGGAACGGTGGTATCAGGAGTTCCAGTGGTGGCAGGTGGCGGTGGGGAGTATGGAAATAGAACTTTCTCCGACGATGATAGATCAGATCATAGTGGGTATAGAAGAGCACAACAAGCACAACAACAGGCACAGGTGCAGTTACAACAGCAGCAGCCTCCTCAATTTCAGCAGAAACAAGCAGGTTCTATCGATTTGCCTTCCCCAGATTCAGTTTCAAGGTACCTAAATTATAAATATAAAGATCTTTAATCTTAAGAATACTGTGTACAGGGTTTTGTGTGTTAAGTTTGGTTTTCTAAATATTATTTGAGTAAATGTGATGAAAATGATCTGAATTGGGATTTTTTTGGTGTAATTGGTACAGTGAAGGAAGTCTAAACAATCCATTATCTAGGCAGAGACCAACTATTTATCAAGAATCAATGATGCAAATTCAGCCTGGTAACTATAGAATTGTTTCTGCTAATCAAGTTGATCCAAAGACTGGGGATCAAAACCCTAGCAGGGTTCAAATGCATCCACAAGTTCAGGAACAACCTGGTTATGTATTGTCAAGCCAGTTTGACCAAAATCATCCTCAATTACATCAAATGCAACATTTTGTTCATGCTGGTACTCAGTATATCCCTGCTGGAGCAATGCCAACTCCATCGTATTATCCTGTGTATCCTTCACAGCAACAGCAACAGCAACAGCAGCAGCAGCAGCAGCCCCATCATCCTGTTCCTGAGCAGCAGTACCCATTCTACTTTGTGCCTGGTCGACCAGCCCAAGGTTATCATGTGCCGATGCAGCAATTGAATTATAGTGAATCCATGTCAGCTGCCACTTCTACCCGTCCCCAAACTCCTCCTTCTGGATCTATGGCCCCTTCTTCGGCTCACAATCAGGCAAGAAATGCTCCTGGATCCGAACATGAAATGGCTGCTGGTGTGTACAGAACGGCAGCTCATCAGCAGTTAGTCCAGGATCCTTCCAGCCAGCAACAGGCACAGTATACTGGTTTCACTCAAATTCATTATCCCTCTCAATCGATGGCTCCCCCTTCAGCTGCCAATTCTAATTATGCTTATGAATTTGCTGACCCTTCACGAGCCCAAATATACTACACTCAGCCTCTGCCACCTCAGTTCGCTGCTCAGTACCAGTCCATGGCATCCGCCCCGGCCGGGACGTCACCTGAAGTGTCTACACCGCAGTCCATGCCGCTTCCCACGGACTACAAAGCATCAAGTTAGAACTGTGACGCCATGACGGGTGAGTTGGGCATGGATACACAATTTTGCAGTAATGGCTTTGGCTTGCCTTTGAAATTTATAATACACAGTTTGTCTTGTTACTCTTATCAATATGTGATGTGTAATTGTGATGGATAATTGTTAAACTCTGGTCATTTCTCTTCTTTACATGTTACATGGTTTGTCTACATATAGTTGTTATTAAATAAATGTAAAATGATGTAAAGAGATTGAAATTATATGTGTTCTTATTTAATGTTTCTTTTTGGATATTTGGGAATGATCCACTTCTTTATTGATGTAATTTATAATTTGACTTGCAAGCGTTTGTTTATTCCATAAATCATTGATCAATCACAAAATTAGACTTCTATGTACATGAACTATGATTTACAGTGATAGCAATAGCATCTCCTTTTTCGTTTCCTTTTCTGAAGAATTCCAGTAATGAGCAGCAGAATCATCAATTCCTGTAGAAAATTAACTGCACTCCCTTGTTTGATTTTCCATAATCCGAATTGAACTTCTACATATAGGCATATTTAAACAATAAGAATGTGGGATCGGCTGGGTTTTAGCAGAATTATGTGAATTTTTTAATCCTATGTTCATATTTATCTTAGTTTGATGGAGCAGAAAGAGTAACACTGCCACTATTTGACAATCATACTTTTGAAAAATAGAGTAACACTGCCCCTATTTGACGATCATGCTTTTGAAAGAAAATAGTGAATTTTAAGAGAATGTGTGGTTAAAAATTAAGGAAAATTTTTGGGTTTACTTGCAGTATATTATACTGTGTGAATGTGTGGTTGAAAATGAGTACGTAGAAAAAATAGTTTGAAAAGTATGGTTGTCAAACGGGGTTGAATTACAAAAACACTAATTCCAGTGAACTGATTAGATCGAAGTTGCATGCTCTAGCATTTTGGGTGTCTGAAAATTTTTCCCTTTCTTTGCAATTAGACCATTAGAGTCCTTTTGCGTGTGCAAAGGGCATATTTACCAGTCGGGCAGGAAATTTGACATGGCTTTTCGTTTCACAAAGGTCCATTTTTTCCAAATGGGATTTTGTTACCAGTTTCTGCCCAAGTTGCACGAATTTTTTGAAGTAAAAAATTATTATTATTATTATTTGTTAAAAATAATTTTAGAAAAATCTATGCCAAACTAGACTTTCTTCCAAGTCAACTTCATGAATTATTTTTCATCTGTCTGTTTGTTGAGGGGTGCTTATTCGTGAATCCTTATTTATTTTTTGTTTTGTGGGGGTGGGGTGAGACTGTTTCAAAATAGAATAATTTATTTCTCATCGTGTTGATAAATTATCGATGATGTGACGTCTATGTGGAATAATGAGATTTGACAATTCAATACATGAGAGAGAGAGAGAAGGGGAGGAAAGAGAAAGAAAAATATGAGAGAGAATGGATTGTCATTTATCAACATCACGATAAGGGGGGACAATTCCAAGTCATTTTTAATAATATAATATCTACTTTTTGGGGCTATGCATTTGTTCTGATTCGGGCCCTTTTTTGTGTAGAATTATCAAAACTTTAATTGACGTTGATGAACGATAAATTCTCCATTATATAATGCCAAAAGACAAGGAATAATATATATATTTGAAAAAAAACATCTTAATTCTTATTCTATGCTAAATTCGGTTTGAATATAAATAACGAGAGTGTTTCAACTTTCAATGTTCAACAAAAAAAAGTGGAATAAAGATGCTCGCTAAATCTCATAAAAATCTAGCATTGTCCCTTCTTTATTCCTTGCTCGAGTTTCATTCTTTAAAATTTATTTTCACAATAATTTAAAATTTTTCTTAAAAAATCTTTTTTTTTTTTTACAAAATCTATTATTAAAAATAGACGAGCGGATTTGTATCCTCATTAATTACTAATTGTAAACAGTAGATTCCACAATGAGAGAGACTTATGGGCGATCAATATTGACAATATGGTGGCAGTGCAGTTGACTGGGTAGAGGATTGTTAGCTCACTTGAGAACTTAATTTTATATAATTAGAACATGTTTGGTTGCATAAATTAAATTTACTCTTAAGTTATTTATTTTACTGTAAATTTCAAAATTATTTTTTATTCATAATTTACTTTCCGGTAAAGAACTAAAAGTGCCTTTGATTGACAATATTTTTTTCATCCAAATTCATAAAAGTTAGTTTTCTAAAAGTAGGAGTATGATTTTATTTTCTATGGAATTCACTCACTCTTATCTATCCACACTCTCTCATCTGTACACCAATAAAAAATGGACAAATGTAATATTTTCTAGATTGAAACTAAATCAATCAAAAACATTTAATTATTTTTTTAATGCAAATTTCATACTCGCAATCAAACGCACTCTAATTATAAATAGACATTTTAGAAAACTAACTTTTAAACACGAAGGAAAATATAAGAGCTCGTCTGTATTTCATTAAAATCTTTTTATAAATTAAATATTAATTTTAATCATAAGTTATTGTCCATTGGTTTTGTTAAAATTAATTTTTTATTAGATTTTGATAGAAGTTGATTCATTATGTGATTAAAAAATATTGTAAATATCATGAAATGTATGATTGAAATTGAATTTGTGAAAAAATAAATTTTAGTAAACTTGCATAATGTGTGGGCCCCGGGTACATTGAAAATTAAATTTTCATCTGACAGGGTGTCTTTCTTCCTTACTGACATGACAGAAAGTAATGACCATCATTTTTCTTCCCACAAATGCCCTTCAAAATTGCCGGCACGTGAAAATCACCATGATGAAAATTGTAGGGCAAAACCGGAATAATAATGCAACGGTAATATTATTTCCCATCAACAGAATTTGTACTCTGACACAATAAAGTTGACTGTGGTGGCGTGTGGAGAATTTGCACTGTAGTAAAATGAGTTTTTTTCCAAAAAACGGGTGTCAAACAGGCACGAAGGCTTCGTAAATCCTATTGCACATCTTTCCTTGTTTGATGTACTATAAAAGTTGATAAAAAATTTTAAGTTAAAAGCCAATAATTAAACGAATATTTTATGAGATCGACAACTTTTGAACCACGTGATTAGATCAATTTTTATCAAAATTTAGTAAAAATCTGATTTTAATCCACAAATTGAAATGAAACCCAAACAAGAACTAACCTTCTGTTCCGCTGCAAAGGGGCAGACGTTCTTTTGCAGTCAATTTCTCTGATACCACACACGCATAAACGACAGCGTGTGGACGAAATAAAATCCTAGAAGAAACTGAACCAGGAAGAGTGAGCATGATGGACCCTTGTTTGCGAGCCGTGGTAGAAGGCATACACTCCAGTCCCACCCAAGCCGTTGTCTATCTCTCCGGCGGAGCCTCTCAGGTACCTTCACACACAGATATGTACATGAAAATATTAAATGTTTGGAGTATGGGGAAGAAGTGGACTTTAGAAGTACTGCTAATTGAGTTGAGGAATCAAACTATATCAATTGTTTTATAGATCGTTTGAACTATTTAAAATCAATTTAATTTCAAATACCATAGGAGTCCAATAGAGTATTGGACAGGGCTCTCAGATTTTATTTTGTAACACTGTCTAGTATTACTACTAACTTGTGATTACACATCAATTTTCTGATGAAATATCTAATTGAAGTGACTTTGGAAAATGGGTAGGCACTTGGGTGGTTAATGTCTGTACCAGGAGCCTCAAACACAGTTTTGGAAGCTGTGGTGCCTTATTCTAGAATGTCCTTGATCCAATTGCTAGGCAAGGTCAGTTTGTTCCCTCCTTTTCATTCTCGTTCGTTTGAAGTTGTTTCGTGTTTACGTGAAAAGCAATTATTGTGCACTACTCTAAAGTGAAACTGGATTCTATTGCATTTTATTGTTGTGTTTTTCAAAGATTCCGGCTAAATTCGCTAGCAGGCAAACTGCGGAGGACATGGCATTGTTGGCTTATAATAGAGCTCTAAAGCTTTCCCAACCAGGTTCTTTTCCAAACGAATAATAATTTGAACTTCTTATCTTTGTTTTCAATCTTGTCTGTAACAAATTGTCTACAAATTATTTTGATTATTTTTTTTTAATATGAGTTTTGGATTTTAAAGATGGTTTATTTCATCTTTCTTTCTCCTTTTACTTGTATTGTTGTTTGGAAATGCGGTGTTTGGTGTTAAATATTTCCAACACGTTATTTTGCCTTAACTTTGTTAAGACATGCTTGAAACAAAATAATAAATTGATAGACTTGTTGTAACCAAATCAATTTCTAGGAATTAGAGATCATCCTAGTCCTATTTATAACCATTCGATAAAGATTTATGATTTTTAGGATTCTAATTCTATAACCGTAATCCAAGATGTCCTTCTCATGCTCTGTACTGGACTAATTTTCTCGATAAGATTGCATTTTGCGGTGTGCTAGTTGGATCTTTGAAATCAATTAGAAACAAGTCCAGTCAAGTCCAGTCAAATTTAGATTTATTCTCAAAGAGTTCTAGTTTCAAAACTCTACTGTGCTGCCAAGGACAGAGTGAAATTTTTATTCAATCTGTATTCCGTACTGAAACTTGATTAGCCAACAAACTTTCTAATGGTCAGATGTGGATTTTAAATCGGTGGCCATGTTGAAATCCCATAACTGACCCATTTTGAAAAGAAAAAACCCCTTCTAGTTATTCTAGTTATCTGTTGTGTTATCACTTCTTAATACATATATGTGTGAGTGAAGCCAATTCACGTTTCCAGAATGCACATTTTTCTTCCATTTTTTAATAAATATCCTGGGTATCTAGAAGTTAAACACTTCCATTTTCTTGGTTGATATAGATGGAGGGAGGAAGGGGGAAGTGCTAGAAGATTGCAAAATGCAAATAAGTATTTATCTCGGGACAAAGTCTGGTGCAGTTAACATTAACTCAAGTAATGCTTGTTTGATTGATACTTTGGGAATGCACAAGATCTAGAGAACAATTTATAGTGTTCATGGTCACTTTGAAAGATTCTGCTTCCAAATTCTATCACAGTGTGGTAAATTATTTTCCTCGTTCCAAAATCCTGAGATATCAGGCTCTTGCAGTCAACAATAAACTAATCTGCACGTGCTTTCTTTTGTCAAATAAAACCTGGTTTCAACCCATGTTATATTTCATATTTATCCAAACTTTTTGATTTCTGCCTGGATCGGTGGTTTGTGATGGTTTCAGGTTTGTTTATGCTAAATTTTAAAGGAATTCTGGGTTTGCTGTAAATGAATTAAATTCAAAATACTCGTATGTTGAACTGCTATGTGTGATTTGATACTATGGCTTGTAAGTTGTAACTAGTGACTATTGTTCTAAAGTAGAAGTACTTCTTTTTACCAATAGAGTTCTTGCCCACGTGATGATTCTGATATCATTTACATGATACTTAGAGGCTCCAGTTGCACCAACACAACGTTACATTTTGAGGGAACAAGAAAATTTTACACATCTCATATACAACAAAGTTCATAAATGTTTTCTAAAATTTTAAGATTTTGAATTGCTTATTGCTATTTGATGATGTTCTTAAAAGTTATGTAATTTAATTTTGATTTATTTCTCTCTTTTGGGTGGGAGAATTAATATTTGGGGTCAGCAATGTATTAACTTTGCTATTTCTTGATCTATTCATTCATTATTATATCATGAGTTTGCAATGTATTAATACTTAGTTTTCAATTCAATTGTTCCTCACAGGTTACCAGGCTCTTGGCATTGGTTTCACTGGTTCTCTAGCTAGCACACGTCCAAAGCTCGGGGATCACAGGTACTGTTTTGCGCTATAATATTTTCAAGTTATTATATCACGATTTTGCAGTGATTCTGCCTGTTTGGGTTGCAAAAGGGTACATGTGCCGTTACAGTTTCAGATTGAGGGATGGAGTTTGGTCCATTTTCTGCCAGATGTAATTATTGGCAGCATATCACCAATATACGTGTTCTTATTCTTATGCTTAACAAATAGATAATGTGTCCTATTCCTATATCTAAAGATTTTTATGTAAACATAGTTTTTCTTGATTTTCATGATTATGCGTAGCTTCAATCCCCAGAAAAAAGGAAGATGGCTATCATTTAAAAATATAATCTCTACTGGACCCTTAAAGGGTTTGGACTTATGATTCTGTTTCCTCTCCCCATTGTCTCACGTAATTTTTGTTTTCTTATATTAACATGGGACAGATATCAAGGAGAGTATGTTGTTTATGTTCAATAGGTTCCATGTATGAAAGGTGGAAGAAAGATAAAATGAAGTATGTGCGTAGAGTTAGCATATCGATAGTAGATTATGGCTTTAAAGAGGCCAAGGCAATTTTTTGCCACTTGATTTTAGGTTATTGTGTAATTTGCAGCAGGCAATATTCTTTCATTCATGGGTTCTATCGGTACTATGCACATTGCACTTGAAAAGCATCTCGACAATTCTGTTGTATGTTAAAAGTTAAAATAAGAAAAGCATCAATTTCGAATGAGTTAGATAGTAATAATCTTTGACATACTTAACTCGCTTCATGCTCTAGATTGGTAAATCGGCTTTTATCTACTTCTTTGTTTCGAAGGAATTGATTTCAGGAATTTTTTTTTTCCATACTAATGGGCTTTATTCATGCATCACATTCAGGTTTCATGTGTCAGCTAGGACATCTGACCGGCTTTGGGTGTCTACTGTTACATTGTCAAAGGTATATGTGTAGCATTCTTTCTATTTCCTTAGCACATGGCTTGGGTTATGGCAAAATTCTGAGATTTCTCTACATAATTGCAATAATGCAGGGCTTGCGAACCCGCGAACAAGAAGACACAGTTTCTAGTCAGTTCTTATTGAAGGTTAGCTATAAACTATGTACCTCATGTGTCTAGTTGTTGTAGAAAATATCACCATGTTGCTCTGATAAATTAGAAGTTATTAAAATTATGATATGATAGAAATGAGAGGTGGATAAGTGGGTAGTAGTTGTGAATCTTTTGAAGTCTGTGGTTAAAATTAAAGTTTGACATTGAAAAGTAAATTAGAAGTTATTTTTTAGGTTTCCCAAACATAGGCAAGATTTGTTAGTCTGGTTATTGGAGAGGAGTGAATTGTGGATTCTGTAAATTTTTATTTAGAATGAGCACGGTTGCTATAAGTCCTATTTTCTGTATTTCATTTAGTTTTTATAAGTAATCCCTTGAAATTCAAGGACGTGGGAGCAATAGTTTGAGTTTTGATGAGACGAAGGACTTCCATCATCAAGGTTTCAGTGTGACGATTAATTTGAATTGTTATTGACTTAAGGTAACATTGATGCAATTCTATCAAAGCCTCCGTTTGGCAAAATTTATAAATTATTTATAGATGGTCAAACTTCATTTGCAACCATACATTCAAATATACCCACAAGTACTATTCACTAATCCAACACTCATTTCTATTTATTTAATAATAAACCGTTTATAAATTCTTATCAAACAGAGGCAAAGTCGTAGAAAATATGTTTTTCTTTTGTGCCTACGCTTGTACTCTCGTTGCAAAAATTTTGTAGAATATATCCAGTAAATCTGGATGGTAGTTTGTTCCTGCACTTGCTATGGTGAATTGTGTATGGCATAAGATCTATGCTTATCTGCTTACCATTTCGTTTTTCGAATGCGAACATCCTTGATTTTTCAAAATATCTTCGAAAGTAAAGTTTAGTAATTAGTACCTTTTTGAAATATCCATTGTCTTGGTAAAATGTAGCATTACCTTGATATTTTTATAGGCAATAGCATATGCTTGCAAGGTTCCAGCGACTTTTGTTTCGGAGTTAACAGATCACGAAGCTCCTGATGACTTTGAAATGCAATTTGAGGAAGACCAAGAGTTAGAGCAACTTATAAATGGTCAAATTTGCTTCAAGGTTTATCCCTTTTCAAGTGGTATGGTTTATCCATAAACAAGGTTGCTACTTTTAAATGACACATGTATGTTCTATTAGTTGTTAATTGTGGAGGGAATGTTGTGCAGGTATGTTAGAGGCGGAAAGGAAGGTTATCCTATCGGGTTCGTTTAATCCCTTGCATGATGGTCACTTAAAACTCTTGGAAGTCGCTGTAAGGTACATGCATCTGCTCCTAAAAGCTTTAAATTTGATGACCGGAATCGTGATTGAGCAATCACTATGTTCCCTTGCGTAATGTGATGTGGATTAATTTTCCGCATTTCTTCAAAATGTTTATGCTTTTTCTTCCTTACCGCATACTTGTGTTCTTGACAGAGGCTTGACTAAACCTTATTCTCCGCAAAACATACATTTACAGAATATTTTCTGATATACTACAATGCCTCTCTCGTATCTGTCATGACCATCTCTAATAGCTTTCTCCTAACATATCGCCTATAGATTCTGTGTTTTGCATTCTAAAATAGGGAATCTTTCATTCTGTATGCCATATCCATTTTTGTTTTATGTCTTTTATGAAGTTGTGCTATGTATTGCACGTGAAAGTATTGAACTGTCTAGGTGACACGAGTATTTTATGTTTGACGAAACTTTTATGATGGGAATCTAGAAATTTGAAGGAACATTTTAGAATCTAATGGTAAGTTGAATTAAAACAGAATACATGTTATGATATCTTAGTTAAAATAGCAATATGATGATGGTGAATTCAGAATATAGAATCATCTTTACCTAACGAGCTATTGTTGATTCGGATATGAATAATGAAGGAGGATTTGAAAGTAGATGCAGTATGCTGAATGTTGAAGGACAAAATACATATAAAATAACATAGTAGAAAATGAATGTCAAGAATGGATGTGTGGTTGTATTCCATATTGGGATGGATTAAGTAAGAAATGTGCATATACACCAACAAGTGAGGGTTTCTCTAAAGAGGATAAATTAAGAGGAGGACAACTTGGTTAGTGAATATTGTGCATAGACCTAAAACTTCTATTCTCAAATACGATGTGATCCCAACATAACATACTAAAATAGGGAGAGGTAGATGAAAACTAACACACATGATATAGATTAAGAAATTTTGATTTCATCTGATCTTTTTGATGTAATTCGGATCAAATGGAGTAACAAGAAAGATTCACGTAGCCGATCCCAAATTTATTGGGAAGAAGGTTAAGTTCTTATTGTTGTCTTTTGCTAATGATCCAAGTTTTTTATGATTAGAAGCAAAATCCTTATAGTTGTTTAATCTGGATTATTTCTACATGAATAAAATTGCCTTGAGTGCCAAACATGTCATAAATATTTTAATTTTCTTGATAATTCCTAGATGTGTAGACTCTTAGAGTTCTTTATGTTTATTAGCTCTTGGTGTTAAATGTTAAAAGTCTATTTATTACTCCCCCACCCCCCCCCCCACCCCCCCACACACACACACCCCCACCCACCCACACACACACACACACCTTAAAAATGTTCACGTTCTAAGGATTCTGTCCATACCTTTAATTTAGTCACCCTGTTATAGTTTTGTCAACTCATCTTTATCATTAGCTTGTGACATTTTGCTGGAAGCTCATTTTCCCTTGGTCTTTATAGTCTATAAGAATATGATTATTTCATATCCAAGTCATTAATGTTTTTCCGTTTATAATCTACTTAAGAGTTAGTATCAGTACTTTCTCTATGTGCATTTTTATTCAATTTAGATAATTCAATTGCTTTCCTAGAGTATAAAGTGTGAATTCAGTAAAAGTATTCTAATTTAAAATGGAAAAGAGAATTTTTTTGTAGCATATGTGTTATTGCTTTAATCATAAAGCTTTTGTTCTAAACTCATAAACATTCTACTTGTGCTGTTGAGATGCGTCTGCGATCGCTGAAGTTATTCATTTGTCCGATGCAGCATTCTTGGTGATGGATACCCTTGCTTTGAATTGTCAGCAGTGAATGCAGATAAACCTCCGTTAACGACGTCGCAAATTAAAGAACGCGTTTTGCAATTTGAAAAAGTTGGTGAGACTAGATTTGCATCCTTAACAACTTGCAAAGTATATGATATTTTGAATATAACCGTGTTGCTTCCCTACATGGTTTTCCTCATGGTTGAAACAAAACTCTGGACTAGTTTGTGTTCGATCTAATAATCCTTGTCCTTTACCCTTTGAATGGCTCTACTATAAACCAAAGATAATCCTAATTCATTTTTTCCTTGATGTATCGATGTTGGAAATCGTCTTTATAAATCTTGAGGCTTGCTTCTCATAGCGGTAGAATGTCTCAGATTTGATTCTCTATGCATCAAGTTGCTTTTCTCATAGTTGTATACCTCAGATTTGATTCTCTGTGCATCAAGTTGCTTATATCTCTTCTATTACCTGAATCAGATTTTTTAATGTTGGACTATTAGAGCTCTATCTGCATTAATTTGCTCTCCGTGCTGTTGAATTATTTATTTATTTATTTATTTTTTTCTGTATGTTTGGCTGGGTGCTTCCTATGGGTCATTTTCCTTTCGTCCGTGATTTGAGTATCTGTTTTGCTATTTTTATTATTGATTTTTTTTCCTTGAATAGGAAGAAAGGTGGACATTCTTATATAGGAATTTCAGTATTATGCCTTGTTCTGGGTGCAACTGAGCTTTTGATGGTTTCAATCGTAAACTTTACGGAGAAAGTCATGATTTCCTAGCAGCATGGTCCTTTTACAAATTTATTATAAATTTAACGAGCATCATGATTCACCTTGTTTTTCACATGTTAACATAGGTGAATTTTTATATGATAACTAGTTACCTACAGTGTGAAAAACTGATTGATTTTTCATGTTGTAGGTCCATTTGGTAGAAGGGTTTTGTGTCCCATTAATTATAATTGCAAGATAGTGAGATAATTGGTTTGTGTCAAATGATAAGTTATATAAAATTCTCTGCACATGGGATCCTGCCTCAATTTCTCTCTTTTCTCACTTCCTGTTATTTTCGTTCAATTTTTTCAACGCTGGGAGGGTGGTGCCTTGGTGGTGGTTATGCCTTTATACATTTTTTGTTTTTGATGATTCATGATTTTGATGGTTTTTCGAGCTTTTGAATTTGATTCTATTTGGCAGAAAAATATGGAGCCCCATTGTCTTTACTCTCAAACCTTCTTCAGTGTGCGAATGAGTGAGATTTTAATGATTAAAGTGTTTCAAGCGCAGGGAAGACGGTCATAATTTCCAACCAACCATACTTCTACAAGAAAGCGGAACTTTTCCCTGGTAGTGCTTTTGTAATTGGTGCAGACACTGCAGCAAGGCTTATAAATGTAAGGATTTTATCTGCTTTCTTTCTTAAATGAGTTCAAAATTTTGGTGCAGCCTTTTTTTTTTTTTCCTAGCTCTGATGTCTTGGCCAATGCTACATTTTTCATTTCCTAGTTTTTTAAAGTTTCAATCCCAATGCCTCAATTAATTTGTCATTTATTATCCCATCCATGGATTTTAAGAATTTTCAGAGCGATATAAAATGTTACCATCGGACAATAGATGTCCATACGTAATGAAGAAAAACAAGATTTAAGGAAATCAATTCTGGAAGCAGACCTCTAGAATAAAAAGTTACGCTGAGTGTAGACTGTTAAGAAGAAATACAAAGGAGCCTACAGTGTTATAGTCAAATGTCCAGTTCCTTCGGGGGGGTGGATCTATTAAGAATTCAAGTATTCCAATAACAAAACACAAAATGATTTGAATGGTCCTGTATTACGAGAGCTAAATTGGCTGAATCCTGAAGGTATGGATCATAATTATTATGGAAAACCTGCATGGCCTAATAATATTTTCATTACGGGGATACTAAACAATTCATTAGTTTCTGAGAATTTATGCTATCACATGATTGCAAATGAATTACCTCTGCACTTGTCTAATTTTGTGCTGGCTCACACCGTTTATCTTTCGATGTGTTGATTTACAGCCAAAATACTATGGTGGGGACTATGAAAGAATGTTGAAAATACTCCTTGAATGCAAAAATACAGGTTGCGTTTTCCTAGTTGGTGGTCGAAATGTCGATGGGGTTTTCAAGGTTTCACCTCAAATTCACAACTTCTGTACTTGCTCATTTTGTTATGATGTTTAAAAGCAATTCTATTGCATGATTTCGGCAGGTTCTTGAAGATTTTGATATCCCAGAGGAGCTAAAAGATATGTTTATCTCAATACCAGTAGAGAGATTCCGAATGGACATATCATCTTCGGAAATCAGGAAAAGTCGAGGAATATAGATTTTTATTGCCGTAAGGTTTTAGATTTTACTCATCCATATTAATCAGTCATCTATTTACATACATTATCAAGTGTCAAGCACAGAAAATGGCATGGTTTAGAGAGGATATTTCTTGTCTTGCAATTGTGTTGTGAAATTCGATTTCTAGTGTAAATTCACGTTGTTTCATTTATTTCGTGTTACAATGTTACACTGTGTACTGGAGCTTGCATATATATTGTGATCTTGGAACCACATTCAGAATCTCTTCTTTTCTTTAACAGGTCCTCTAGGAATCTTGTTCAGAACCGTGGTATCAAGTTTCTTGTACAACTTCTTCATGTCCCGGTTCCCTTTGCTTGCAAGATAATCGACCTCATCTTGATACCGTTCGTACAAGGCAGGTAATGTGGCCAGGCAAATAAAACCTTAAAATCGTATCAAAAAGAGAGAGATTACATTGACTTGTTTTATAAGGTTGACTGTATTACGTCCCAAATGTGTTCTGAACTCTTACCAATGTACAATAGATTCAAGGAGCTGAAGTTGTTTCCAATACCCGAAAGTACCAATAGGAATGCGATGGCCTAAAAGAAAACAAGAATTCATGAAAGATGTGCAACAAAATAATCGTTGAATGACAAAAAGAAATGCTTTGTATACCAAGAAAAAGGTCTTCAAATCATTCCCAGAAGAAACATCATAGAATTTCAACAAAAACCTGTGGATTTTGGTCAACAACCAACGAAATGTAGACTCTGGAATTGTAAGGGCTCGTAAATCAGGAGGATTCCTAGTGATTAACGTAGGAACATAATGTGTTTGTTAAAATGTCGCAAAGAAAAACAAGTTATGAATCACATTAACTTGCGAGGGCAATTTGTACCTGTCAGCTAGTCCTGACCCAGTAGACCAAGCAAACACAACTAACATAGCAGCCATTGAGACGTGGCAGAAAAGAGTTACAAAGTTGTACTCCACGACCTCGAACAGAAACCATATTACAGTGAATCCGATCAGTATCGCAGCTGATAAATTCTTGTTCCTCCATAACATTATGTCAGCAACTGCAAAACAAGTTTGATACAATTTTGATTTAGAAAAAACGTCGGGTCATCTGAAAGAACGTGTTCTAGTCGATATTCATTACAATGACAAGAATGTACCCACAGAAGACAAAATCTATAGAGGTTTGGATAAGAAAAGGTTAGAAAATCACATGTCCCTCCTCCAAGAATTGCATGCAATGGCTTTTCATGACCAAACCATCTCTTTGGATTTATAATTTGATCATCAGAATCCGAGGAATAGTTCGACATGGTTAAGGAATATGATTGGCCAATGCTAAATACCTCAATAGAACAAAAAACATGAACAGTGGATTGAATTAGTAACGAAAATTAGATTATATAAGCATGCAGTGGAAATATTCATCTTTGCAGCAAAAGATTTGTAACACGAGGAAGAAAGGGATTGCTTTGTTATCACGAAAAAGATTGTCCCATGACAAAGAATTTGTACATATCATGTGAGAGAACCAAGACGTATGATTTCCCAACAATAATCATAAATTATGCTTTTTTAATGATTGTAGCACAAGGTTGATACAATTATTCTTGATGTACATGAGGGGTTTACAGAACCCCTCCAGAACACACAATAGGTGGGGTTGGGGGTTGAATTCTTTATGAGGTGGGTCTCACATGAGGCCCACCTATTATGTGTGTTCTGGAGAGGTTATGTGAAACCTCTCATATACAGCAAGAATAATCCATGTTGATATGGAAATGTACTTTCACCTGTTTGGTCTCAATTATTTAAAATTCATTTTTCTCTTACTTATTAATTATGAATTTCATCATCTTTTAGTAAAATCTAGCATTACCCACGAGCTCTTGTGGCTCGTCTAATATGAGCCGGGCCCACGAGCTCTCCATTTGTTTTAATATTTTTTTATTTTTTATGTAAAAATCCTGATCCTTTTTTTCCAAGCTTGGGACTGACTACTTAATTTTTTTAAGTGAGCAGAGTTAAAATTGTACAAAAAAAACTTGTCACATATACAATTTTATTTTAAAAATAAAATATTATTAAGAAAACAACAAAGTTTGATAGATGTGACGAACTTAAATATCATTTATCTGGTTACACACAAGTTCAACATACCTATTTTGTTTTCGGAAATGCGCATCTTGTTAATCTTTTTTACACACGTAGCTTTTCAAAATATCTTCTTTGAGTCGGTTCCTGAACTTGAATAAAGTTCGCTTACATGCACAAAAAACAAACTCCGAAACTACAGTGCCAACCGAAGGTGTTAGTAGATCTTTTGCAGATCTTTTGCAATTGCAGAAATAATAAGATATCTACGTTTGTGATGTTGCCAAAACTCAAGTAAATCAAATTTCATTGCATCAACACGGTCTACGTTCCTAAGTATTTGATGATTAAATTATCTATGTAATTCAGCAAGCATTCCAGCTGGAGCTGCATCTGATGTCTTATTATATGCTGGAGACTTACTAGAAGAACATGCATAAAATATTTCATCCTTAATGTCTGTAAATAAATTCAAAAAATTTTCATCTTCTTCTTGAAGATTAAAAGGATTATACATTATTAAACATAAAAGAACGAATTTTATTTTCACGACGATACTATTTAATAATTTGCATAAGAGCATTAAATATGTTGTTAGCATTATGATGATAATTATCTTTAAAATAATTAATCTTTTATGCATGACCATAAGTGGACCGATTTAGTGTGCAATTGTAGTTATATAACATCTTTTATTAATACTTTCTCATAAATTCGAAGTAAATGATTTAACACCACTATATTTATATAAATAATGAACCATTTGTTTCTTGTGTTTAACAAAATGATCTATGCAATAGAAACGTAGAGTGTTTCTACTTATCACAACGTACCTTGATTGAAGATATTATCTCACGAGCGGTGTGAAATGTTCGTTGTCTCTCTATTGACATCAAACTTCACCATTCCTTCACGAGTATTTTCCTTCGAATACATCCTTGTGCTAGTATTGTGGAATTGGTACCAAGAAAATGAGTACCAAGTTGCAGTTGTGTTTGTGTTCCACTAGCAAGCCCATATTTGGCCTTATATTTGAGGTAACAATGGTTGAGATGGGTAGTATCGATACCCTTTTGTCATGCCAATCGTGTTTAGCAATATCTCATACTACTTTACGCTCTTGAACTTCGTCGATTGTATGCTCATTGAAATTAATTTAAAGTTTTTCCAACACTTCGCAGATTTTTTATCATTTTAATTCCCTGTTGCTTCGGAAATTTCTAGTTCAGATTCTGCAACTTTTTATCAACTTCATCAAAATCAATTGGATTATTGCTTTCGTAAGTGTCATCGTCAATGCCCAAATTCGACAAATCGTTGGGAATGGAGATGTCATTGAGACTGAAAAATTCATTATGAAATTGAGATTGTAACGTCATAGGTGAGTAGCCACTGAACAAGTCATCGACAAAAGAATTTGGATCCAAGCATTTGTATGTAATAAAATTGAAATGTATAAAGATGAAACACAATTATAGTAGAGAATGTAAGTTGAATAAAGATGAAATGTGTAAATCGAATGATGTAGAATGTAGATAATTGAATTGTATAAATATAAAACATATAAAGTTATAAATTGGATAAATTGAATTGAGATTTGAATTGATTTGATTTGAGTGTAATTTGATTGTAAGGAGAAAGTAGAAGAGAGTTGTAACTAATTTACGTGAAAAATGGATTGAATAATAAATTATTTAGAGTGATAAAAAAAAATAAAAATTCAGTGACCAATAATCACATTGAAAGAAAAGTGATCACAAAACTCTCCTAAAGTGACAAAATGATCCCACGAGCTAGCTACTCGGCTCTTCTGTAATATTTATCAAAATCTACTAAAAGTCTTATTTTTAACAAAATCAAACAAGGACTTAGCATCTCTGGATACATTGTGTATGATTAGGGTTGATAAGAGTAAGCTGTAAATCGAGGAGATTTTAAAATAACTTTTTGTGTAGATACATATTTAGAAAAATTGTTACTTTTATTAAATGAACTCTTACCTTATTTTTAACTTTTGATAAATAAATTATTTATTTTAAACCTTATTTAACTAACTCATAAGTAAATTTACACGTTGTTTTGTTGATCAATCCAAACATTTTTGGTATATGATTTAGGAAAGAGAAGCCATTTGGATTAGTTTAATCCAAGTATTATTTGCATCAAACACAAAACTACATTAAATTAATTTTAAACACACTCCTAGTGTTTAACACAACATTATCGCGACACTCAGGACATACTATAATATTGTAACTTCTATTGTCATTAATATTTAATTCTGCAATATTGTCTAAACAAATGTATAAATACATCGCAACAGAGTAAATTTCTACTCAACTAATCTCTCCTCATATTCATGATATCCTAAACTAGCGGTGGCAATGGACCGAACATCTACACGTTAACGAGCTGAGATCGACTTGGTTCACAAGCTGGCCGAGTCGAGTCCACGTGTTTTTTTTTGGTCCATATGTCGACTCGTGGGCTCGTGAACTTTAAGCTCGTTCGAGAGCTCGACGAGTCGAGCCTTGTTCGGCTCGATTCGAGCTCGAACATTTATGGATGAGATTTTGACGAGTCGAATTGACGAGCTACTTGAACTTTTTAGCACCCCTACGCTGTACCCATATCATATTACTCTAGGCATGACAATTCACTTGGAATACTAATGATTGGAAGACTCGACTCTCAAAAAAAAGTGATTAGCTAGTTAGAGAATAAAAACTATTTCAATAGGGAAAGTCAAAGAAAGATGACAGGATATGATCTGCAGACACGCATGCTAAGCTATTTCAATCACATCATCACATCACCGAAATTAAAATAAAGAAAAAGTCAATCACTGATCCTTACTGAGGGACCAGTAAAATGAAATAATGATGCATGTAATCATTCTCGGAGAACACAAAATTCTCATGTTCTTCTTAGTCCTGGTTTGTCTCCGTCCCTTATTTCAAAAATGCATTTTTTTCTCTTATTTTAATTACATACTCTACAATAAAATAGTATTACAAATAAATTCAAAAAAATTCTTATTTTTTAATTACACATTTTTCTAAAATCGCTATTTCAAAATACATTTTTTCCAAAATTTATTTTCAATGGAACCCAAACATAAATTTAGTATTAAACTTACTGTACTGGAGCTCTTTGATAGGGACTTCGACGGACCATTAAAATTCAAACCAAGGGCCGAGGTGAAAATCCCCTGTACGAGTAGTAGCACTCTTCTTTTTATGCCAAACAATAATAGGAATCCTAAGTAAAGACATTGATACTGATCTTGTAATTGAATCGATAGTCATGATGGCCTTAACATATACTAGTAATTCGTGAAGGTATCATAGTGTGATACACAGCAAAGGCCGCATTGTACCAATGATTAGCGAGGATTAGTATGGCATAATGAGGTTTAGATAGTGCATTAGTCATGATAGCTTATCTGTTATAAGCGTGACCAGGGCAACGATGATTACACTCTTATAATGGAAAAAAAAAAAATTATTGTTAGAAATTAAAACCTCTAGAATCTTAATATAGAAAACCTTTTGTTAGTGTCAAGATTTTCCATGTCAAATCATCAAAAAAAATTAGAGTGGAAGCACACTGTGATCCATTGAGAATGAAGATTGATAGCGAGTTCTTGATCTTCCTTTTCAATACGATTTCTCTTCAGAAAGAAGTCTCTGTGTTCTTCTGATAATGTGATGACAAAGAGAATGAGAAATCACGTATGAATTGAGAATCTAACCCTAATATATATTTCCACGTGTATTTTGGCACATCATAAAATACAACCAAAGAAAATTGATTTCTATATTATATGCTCAAAACTCAATAACTTTAATCCCTATCAGATAACTGTAAATGAGCTTAACCTTAAGATAACATTTAATACATATTTAATTACATAAATAGGTCCACGTGACAAATTATTTTAGAAGAAGTAGTTGTGCCACTAAATTAATTCACTAATATACTTTAGAATTGAAGCACAGGCAATCTTGATTTCTCTATAAATTGAGATTTGGCAAACAAACATTCCTCGCAAATCAAAATTCTCTATCCATCTCTCTCTTCTCTCTGTCACACACACACACAAACATGAATACCAAACTAACATGCCTGGCTATCTGTGCTGCACTCGTGTTGCTTCTTGCGTATGAAGCTCAGATAACAAGCGCTGCCGTGACTTGCAACCCACTGCAGCTGAGCCCATGCGCCAGCGCCATCACCTCCGCCTCCACTCCCACCGCTGTGTGCTGCACAAAAATAAAGGAACAGAGGCCTTGCCTTTGCAATTACATGAAGAACCCTAATCTTCAGAAGTTCATCAACTCCCCTAATGCCAGGAAAGTTGCCAACACCTGTGGCACTCCATTTCCCAGATGCTAAATTTTGCCAAAAGTGCCTCTCCATTCCTAGTTGCTGATTAAATTCCGTTGCTTTATGATTATTATATCGGTTGATGTGTCATCTCATATAAGTTTTCTATATAATATGAGTAATTAATGTTCTCTTTAATTATTAATATTAGTAATTAGGCCATTATGGAGAGAGTGTAATGTTAAAGTGAATTTTAATTTCTTCATGTACTGTTATGTGTTTGTAACTTTGGTATGAAAACCATATATGGTTAAAGATTTTCAGTTTCTTGTCCAACTACAATTTCCAAATAAAATATGCATATTTAAACGATATAGGAATGAGTAATGCTATGTAGCCCTACTGTGGTTGTAACCCCAGTCTAGGTGGCTTTAAATGATAGGCTAAATGTTTAATTTCACATATCATTTAATGTCACTTTAACGTCACCTAGATTGAGATTGTAACCCCAGTGAGGCTAAATAGCATTACTTTATAGGAATTCACCCGTAATAAAAAAAAGTCACGTAAGATTGTAACTTGCAACTAGAAATATTAGTCTTGAAATTTGACTCTAGTATGAGTGTTAATTAGATCGAATTATCCCCGGCCTTTTGAGCTCTTATACCAAATTGAGTCTCATGTTTCCATCCTAAGATTTCAAAATCTTACATTTAATGTTTTCTTCATTTTATAAATGTCAATTGCCAATAAAATGAAGAATAATGCTATCTGGTGCTAGAGCATCCTATGCGACATTATGTGATATATTCAATCAAAAATGAAATTATGTAATTCATTTAATTGAACTCATAATTTAAAGTCACTAATGCTGTCACCTAAACTAGTGTTAAATACTAGTGATGCCAAATAGCATTACTCTAAAAAATCAAATATGGTTCGAGTCATCAAGAGGCAGAGCATTGAAATTTTTAACTTATTAAGAGCCCATTTGTCAGGGCCCTTAATTTTATTTTTATTTTTATTTTTATTTTGTATTATATGATATTTTTTGACCTACCATAAAAAATTCTTCCAACAATGGAGCTAAATTTCCTTCATTTCAGATTTTAGGCCATTCTGGTTCACACCAAATCTTCATATGTTGGTATCACGTCTTTTTTCCAATTACAGTGATCATTAAGATCCAGAATATTGGTACATTTTCTACTTCTAAATATGAAAACTAAGAGTGTGTATGGTACGAATTTTTGAGGGAAGAATTGATTTTTGAACAGTGATATGATGGGAAATGTGTGGTTGAAAAAGAAGAAAAAATTATTGATGTGATGGAAAATATTATTTTATTGAAGAATGTGTGGTTGAAAATGAGAATTGATTTACTGTAGAAAAGGAAAATTTTTACCAAACATTTTGTAATTGTAAACTTTGGGGCCTGATTTTTAATTTTGGAATAGTAAACACCTGAGCTGTAAATTTTTCCCGTGTTAAATACTAGTGATGCCAAATAACATTACTCTAAAAAATCAAATATGGTTCGAGTCATCAAGAGGTAGAGCATTGAAATTTTTAACTTATTAAGAGCCCATTTGTCAGGGCTCTTAATTTTATTTTTATTTTGTATTATATGATATTTTTTGACCTACCATAAAAAATTCTTCAACAATGGAGCTAAATTTCCTTCATTTCAGACTTTTAGCCATTCTGGTTCACACCAAATCTTCATATGTTGGTATCACGTCTTTTTTCCAATTACAGTGATCATTAAGATCCAGAATATTGGTACATTTTCTACTTCTAAATATGAAAACTAAATTATTGCACTAATTTTTAAATTTGTGAACTCCTACTTTCTTAAAACATTAATAAAATTTAAAATTCATACGATGGATTAATTTAGGAAAGTTGTAACTGGGTTATTTTCTAGGAAATTTTCAAAATAAAAGGTCTTGAGAAGATGTAATGAGCATACCATGTTGAGGATCTTCAGTAGATAAGTTTTACGAATTACAGCTACTTTTCAAGACACGTAGAATCAACAGAACTAATGTTAAAAGACGACAACCATGACAATACACTGACTTTTGCTTTCTAAAAGCAGTACACACAACGTACATAGACAGCTTAATGAGAACCCCCTTCATATCAGTCGATTTCATAGTAACTCCACAAACCTTTAGCAAAGATCTCATCGAACCAAGGTCGAGCTTTTTAATATTCACCGCCCTTTTGTTGCTGCTGATTTTCTGCAAAGCTAGAAGAGGTCATTCCGAGTCCTTCGTTGTTATGTTTTTCCCATCCACCCGTATCAGCCTTGGAATGGGACCAGTAATACAAGATAGAACCCACCATTGATAATAATGTTAGAGCAGCACTGGCAGCAAATACACCCTTCCGGAGAGTGGCGCATGATAAGTGTTCAATGTGAAAATTTGCACGGTATTTTGTATGATATGCATTCCTTGCTGATCCTGCCAATAAGCATGCTTCTGCCCCCAAAAAGCAAACCCTGGTGATTGTTTGAAAGTCAATGCAAGTGAATAGAAAGAATTCAGCATGTTTACACGATTGAATAAAACGACAGAACCCAAGTATATCAAGATGGGCAGATCATGAAACAGGTCAATACATAGAGGCCATTGCTGACCTTTCTGAGTCTCTGATGAATTTTCCAGATTTACAAGCCATTACTGCTGATGTGCCATCGACCAACTCAATATGTAGTATGTTATGCAATGGGATTGGGTAGCAGGGGATTACAAAATCTCAAAACATAAGACTAGTTTCCCCAGGTGCATGTTCAAGTCAATCCATATCTAGAGCTAAATGATTGAAAGCATACATGCAATAATGACTAGAGCAAACACTTCCCTCATTTGCCTCCCCGGAAAACACTTATAAAGAACATAAATATAGAATAAAAAAAAAAGAAATGCACAAATGGTGAACAAGAAGCAATTAGATTGATTACATTCTGTTAGATTATTAGAGTTTATGATTTATTCTAATTTTTGGAATATCACTATTTTTATTCAAGTCTTTAACTTTATATACTTGGGAATATCTAAGTCAATAGGATAATTATTAGGCGATTCTTGCAGGACATTTTAAATACAAGGCCATCTCTGGATTTCGGAACTTGTTTAATAAACTCCATTAGTGTAAGTTTAGTTTCAGCCTTTGGGAAGAATTTCTTGACAGGTGGTCTTAAACTATACAACTGTAATAGAAAGTAACTTTTGGGGGGATAAATCAGGTAATATTTTGACAAAAAATTGGTAGTATATGAAAACAGAAAGAAAATCCCAAGAAGTGACACAAGTATCCAAAAAAGTCATGCATCCAAGCTTCTTGTAGATAACAAATTTATTAACTCTATTGAGGCTCATCACAGATAGCAAGGTCACATGGATCAATTTATTCCTTTCGTATAACGCCACTGTTTAATATGGTCTGTGATTGTTTGCAGGTCAGGAAAGAGCTAACAAAAAAATTAAATTTTTTTGTGTCAACCAGCCGCCTTAAGTAGAAGTTGAAACTCAGACAAGATTGAAACAACCAAGTTCAAAGATCAAACAAGTTACAGAAATTTTATGATGACCTCAAGCTTCATTTGAACTAAGATAATTCCCTGGTATCAATCTCGATCTATGTTGCAAAAATTCCACCTTTTTCATTTTGCATACGTTACAGAGTTAAGGTAGCAATGTAATGTGTCTTCATCAATCCTCATGACAGGAGTTGGACAGATAAAATACCATTTTTGACTGTCCAAGTATTATCTTCTTTGATGCATATTATAAAGAAAGTACGGAAGTGTTCCTCTCCTTTCTTGGCTTTCATGATAGAGTGGAAAAGAAGTGAAATAGAAGATAACAGTTTTCTACTCTAATCCAACTTTTCTCCCACTTTCTCAAAATATACAAAACAAAAGAATTTTGCTCCCTTAAATTTCTTATTTTCCAGTATTTTATTTTATCTTGTCAACCAAACAAACCTTGAAGGAGTGATGGGCAAGCATAACACATAAAACTAAGTCTTTTTCCCTATAAATTTGGAGTAGGCAGCTTTGTTCAATCCACAGTTACATCTACTAAACAACTAGGGGAATACATTAATCTAACATTTTACATACATATATACCAAAAAAAGACACTAGGTTTTGGTGATGAGTTTGGTCATCGAACATGCTAAAAAAATTGAATAAAGATTAGTGTACGCTGTGTTCCTCTCTTGATTTGGTTTTGTTTTATGCTGAATAGAAATGTTTTAAGAAAGCTATCATAGAAGATATTTGTTTGAACACCAACTCTGACTGGAACTTGATATTCAAATGTGTAAAGCATTATCTCAATATTTTTCAGAATTCCACATCGTAACAGGGGTCTAACAAGCAGTTTGCAGAAGGAAACTGGAGGGTCATAAATAGGTCCAGTGGCAGCCAAGGATATTAGGCTCCTATTTGGTACAGATTCTTTAAACCTTATTTTTCTCCAAACTCATTTTTCACCACACATTCTCTTAATAAAATAATTTTGCACGAGGACTTATAACTTTTCTCTATTTTTTAACCACACATTTTTTCAAAAATATCACTTTACAAAATCTATTCTCAAAAATCTATATAAAACATGCCCTAGGTAAAATAACTAAAAACTAAATTTCAAGTTTCCTTGAATCAAATTATTTGGATTCAACAATGCATTGCACATCAGTGGTCTGTATCACCTGTAAGGAAGATGTAATCAACTCTATGAGGAACACAAAAATGGAGTGGTAGTGCAACATTTAAGATTCGTACACCGAGACTTTTAACTCATAAAAATAGGACATAAGACAACCCTAAATTTATCTCAATGTAACTTCGTAAACTATCAGCTGATATCAGGAGGAAATAGGGGTGACCAAAGAGCGAAAGTGACCAAAATTAGAATCAATACCTAATTAAACCATAGAAAGCAAGTCACCAGACACAAAAAGTTGACCACGAACAATAATACAATATAATCACAAACATCACTATTGTTTTTTTTCTTTTCTCCATTCTTAAAATTCCCTCGGTCTTTAAATCTCCTTTATTGATTTACAGCAAG